GTAAAGACACAGACTTGGGCATTTTAGAGGAAGACAAAGTGCTCCAGTAGAACCTTAATAAAGGTGGGAATCAACTAGCAGAGGAAAGAGTGCCCCCAGAAATGAATTTTCCTGGAAAAAATAGACTTTGAACATCATTTCACTTCTCATAACTCACTCATTAGTGGTAGCTCCTCCATCACAATGATTTTAGCTGGATTTATGCAACCTTGAATGGAGGCTTCCATTTCTCCTATCATTCTGTCAAGGCAATCTCCTTCCTTGTGCACAATTCCTGGAAACAGTTCTGTCAGGAGTGTATCTATACTTAATTAAGCATAGTGGTAACTGTGTGCTGGGAAATGTAAATAACTGATGCATTACTTTCACACGTGCTGGTCTTTGATTACGTGTCAAAAAGAACCAAAACCACTTGGTTGTCAAGGCATGGAATAGTTTTAAAATGCTAAGGGATTTGTTTGGTTGATTTGTTGTTGGCTACAGGCAGCAACAGCCAGGTCCTCTCCCACAGGTAAGCAAGAGACGTGACACAAGTTTTGCAGGAAGCACGGCGTGTTGGTCGGAGGGTGATTCCACACTCAGAGCCCCACAACCGCCTCCTCCCTCCACTCCTACAAACTCCAGAACTCCGCATGCTTTATGGCCAGAAGCAGCTTGAGCCTGCAGCAGGAAGCATCTGAGCCCACTCAGGCAGAGCTATATACTTTCACTGAATGATCACCGCTGTCTAAAACGACGAGGGAATTGTTTGCCGTGTAAGTCAGTCCGACAGGGTAAGAAAGCCCGTGGCTAATTAGAGGGTTAAAACTGGGAAATTCCTCAGGTTTCCCTAAGCATATGACAGCCTGGCTACAAACATCCGTTACTAGAACACGACCTTCTCTGTCAAAGGCCACAGCCGTAGCGTATATTCTGGAGGGGAAAACGAGGTTCAGACCGAAGCTGTCCATCTGGCCAATGAGATCCATCTCTGCACTGAGTATCGTCACTCGGGTGCTGCCCTTGCTCGGACCTCGGGCTTTCAGGTGCTCTACTACCACGACAGCTCCCGAGCTCTGGCAGACAGCGACAGCTCTGGGGCTGACAAGCCGGGACCGGATCATCTGGCACTTCTTTAACTCCCCCCTTTGGAAGTCGGCCGCCAAGCGGTACAGCGCGCCAGCCTCCGAGTCGGTCAGGATCACTTCGCTCTTGGCGGCGGCATCCAAGCCCCAGGGCAAACAGAAGCCTTCCCGGACGGCCAGGACCCCCCTTCCCTCAGAATCGAAGGCCTTCACGGAGCAGTCCCCGCCGTCGGTGACCACCACGTGTCCGTCCGACGTGACCGTCACATCGAGCGCGTACTTGATGTCGTTGTTCGCGTCCCCCCGCTCCCCGAACCGCCGCAGGCAGAACCCGCTCGGCCCGAAGACGTGGATCCTCTTCTTGCCGTCGTGTGCCACTGCCAGGCGGCCGGACCCGGGGCAGGCCGCCACGCCGGTGGGGTTCACCAGCGACCCCCAGCCCCCCAGGCACAGCCGCAGCCCGAGCCCCGCGGGGGCCGCCGCCGCCGCCCCGCCGCAGCTCCTGCCCAGGGCCGAGGCGAGGCCGCCGCCGGCGGGGCCCAGGAGCTCCAGCAGCTGCAGCAGCGGGCGGCACTCGCTGGTCTCGGCGGGCCCGCAGAGCCGCCGGCAGAAGGGACACTCCAGCCTCTGGCGCTCGGCGCCGGCCAGGGCCCCCACGCAGCCCCGGCAGAGGACGTGCCCGCAGGGCAGGTTGAGCGGCCGCCGCTGCCCGTCGGGGTCGTACGGCTCGAAGCACACCCGGCACTCCAGCAGGCTCAGCTCCGCCTCGTCCTCCGCCGCCATCCCCGCCTGAGGAGAGCGACCGGAGCCCCGCGGCGGCCCCGGATCCCCGGGCCCGGCGGGGCGGGCGCTGAGCGCGGCCGAGGCGGGCGCGCGCCCCCTTGCGGGCCAGCGGGGGCGGAGCAGGGCCCGGAGTGTCCCGCCGGGTGTCCCTGTGCCCACACCCGCACACCTACCCGTGCTCACATGAACCAGAATATATGCCACCAGGACATCCAAATATCCACCAGGATATTCAATTACCCGCCAGAATATTCACATACCCACCAGATTCTTACAGACATCCAGTTATCGAGTTACCATACTGCTACTAGCTCCCTTTATCCCCTACCAGAGTAAGGAATTAAGCCACAATTTTACAGAATCATGGAATCACTGGATGGTTTTGATAAGAAGGAACCTTGATGATTATCTAGTTCAAATCCCGCTCCTATGAGCAGGGATGACCAGGATAGATCAGGTTGCTTAAAGCCCCATCCAACCCTTGAACACTTCTGGAGATGGGGCACCCACAGCTTCTCTGGGCAATCTGTTCCAGTCTCATCACCCTTGCACTAAGGAATTTCTTCTTAATGTATCACCTGAACATACTCTCTGTCAGATTTCCCCTTGTCCTGTCACTACATGCCCTTGTAAAGTCTCTCTCCAGTTCTCCTGCAGGCCCTTCAGGTACTGGAAGGCTGCTCTAAGGTCTCCTCAGGGACTTCTCCAGGCTGACCAATCCCAACTCTCTGAAGCTGTTTTCAAAGGAGATGTACTCTATCCCTGTGAATACCTCAGTTTCATTGTATTTTCCCACTGTTCTGGCAAAATTTAGAAAATATTTACATTCATCACTAGTAGACACATTTCTCAGACAGGCACGTACACACATTTCCATAAGGTGCATGGACAGCATGTGCTCCTTTTGCTAGGTGTATTTACAGGGAATTCTCAGAGTAGTTAGAGGGTACACACAGCTCTTACACACCCTAAAATGGCTGTTTTGGCACGGGGCATTGCTCTTGCCAGGCTGTCGCATGCCTGGGAGTCCTGTGCAGGCACCACAGGGCATGTGGCAGCCTCGTGCCAAGCGCCTGGCCTTTTGCAGCTATCACATATCTCAGTGTCTGAGATAAACTCTGGGAGCTCTCATGTTACATCCGGAAAAACTTGAAAGGAAGGAGATGCATTAAGCTGGTAGCTGCAGTACTGGCCAGGAGTGAAAAGAAACAAAATCAGCAGCTCCCAGCTTGCACTGGCCCACTGGCTACATCCCTTCTTCTCTCTGTCAACCCAACCTTGAAACACGAGTATCTATGAGCAATACTGAGTGTCCCAATGAGCTGTGGGCATGGGGACTGCTGTGCTAAAACCAGCAGACCCATTTGCAGCTCTAGGACTATGGCACTCTAAAAAGCCCCATGGCTTTTACTCGCCTTCTATTCTTGACAAATTATGATACATTACATTGCAATCATACCTTTCCTTTCAAAACAAGCTGCAAAGGGGAGAAGTCACTGTGCTCTGTCAACCTCAAAGTAGAGAAGATTTTCTCATATTCAGATGGAACTTCCTGTGTTTCAGTTTGTGCATTTTGCCCCTTTTCCCATCCCTCAGCACCACTGAAAAGTCTTGTCCCATCCGCTTGTTGACTGCCCTTAAAGGTATTCTTGATGGTCCCTTCTCAGTTGCCTCCTCTCCAGGATAAACAATGGCTGTCTTAGCCTTTCCTCATAAGCAAGATGCTCCAGTCCCCCAGCCATCTTTATGGCCCTCTCCTGGACCTGCTCCATGCTGAGGTCTCTCTTGCCCTGGGGAGCCCAGAACTGGACACAGCACTCCAGATGTGGCCTCACCAGGGCTGAGTAGAAGGGCAGGATCACCTCCCTCAACCTGTTGACCACACTCTTCCTAATGCACCCCAGGACCATTGGCCTTTTTGGCCACAAGGGCACACTGCTGGCTGACTTGACCACCAGGACTCCCAGGTTCTTCTCTGCAGAGCTGCTTTCCAGCAGGTCAGGCCCCACCCTGTGCTGGTGCCCTGGGTTTTTCTTCCCCAGGTGCAGGACCCTGCACTTGCCTTCTCTGAACATCACTGTGTTCCTCTCTGCCCGGCTCCTGTGCATGTGCAGGTGTTGCAGCATGGCTGCAGAGCACTGTGGTGTGTTAGCCACTCCTCCTAGCTTTGTATCATGATCAAACTTACTGCAGATACACTCTGTCCCTTCATTCAGGTCACTGATTAATAAGGTGAACAAGACTGGACCCAGTACTGACCCCTGGGAACACTGCTTGCTAAAGCCCTCCAACTAGCCTGATCACAACACTGAGCTCTGTCACTCAATCTACCTCACTGTCCACTAACCCAGCCCATTTCCCTTGGTGAAATACTGCTGATAACCTTCTTTTCCTCCACTTGCTTAGAGATGACATCCAGGATAGGTTGTTCCAAGGATGAAGGTGAGATTGCCTGGCCTATAGTTTCCTAGGTCCTTCTTCTTGCATTTTTTCAAGACTGAAGCGACATTGGTTTTCCTCCAAAAAAGGAAAAGGGGAGGTCCTCAGGCACCCCTCCCGTATTCCATGACCTTTCAGATATGATGGAGAATGGTTTAACAATAACATCAGGTGCTCTCAGGACATTTCCCACCCATTCCTCCCCATCATCCATCTACTTCCCTCCAGCTTTGCTTCCTGGATGGTAATTTCCTCTTGGCAGCTGCTGCCTTGCCTTGCCCACTCACTGCCAACTCTTCACTTGACATATATTGACAGGGATGGAGAGAACCAACTTGCAGCAGCTTCCCACCTCTCTGCCCAGTCTGGTGCACAGCCAGTGCCCCATAAAACAGTGTTTGGACTGCAGCTGCCACACTCCTAGGGCTGCCGGTTGGTAAGGCTGAGTTGCAGAATGCCAGGCAGACAGCATCGACCTGCAATGGCTGAAAAGGAACAGGAACATTTCTTTTTCACAGCTCTCATGATTTGAACTGATATGGAAGAAAAAGGTATGCTTTGGTAATGGCTGTTTGTGCATGGAGTTTAAGAAAAGCTGTTCACAATTCAAGATAGTAAAGGCAGCTGTGTAGGAGAGCTGACTCAGTAAGCAAAATGGACAAAACCCCTGCTTTAAGAATGCCTCATTTTAAAATGAAAGATATAAGAATAAGCAAGGTGTGAAGCAAGTAATTTTAACAAATTTTAATCAAGCTACAAACTTGAGTAGATATAGCACCTCCAGAAAATAATCTAGTCCCCATTGTTTGTGCCTCTCCGAGAAGGCATCAGCTTTTTCAAGACACCTAATTTCACAGCAGTTTCCTGAAAAGGAGATAAGGATAACAAATTAGTGAATGATTAGTCAATGAAAAATGCAAAAAATTCTTATCCACAGATTTCCCCACAGTCCTAACACAGTGCACTGAGGGGAATTTAATTGCTCTCTTTTGCACTGGGATGTAATTGTCTATGCCAATGACTCACTGCACAAAAACACTGCCAGAGTCTCAGAAAGTTGTAAATTTAAAAGTGAGATATTACAGCACACCAGGAGGAACTCCTAAAATTAAATTCCTGACATAGCTCCAAATTTCATTATTTTGATGGATTTGAATGGTACATTTTTAGCATTTTCTTTGAGTGCCATGTTACTTTTCCTATTTGACACAAAAGTACAGTAGAAACTGTAGCACTGGTAGGGCTTCTATTAAAACAGGGCAACTGGTTGATGAGGTGCAGGCAAAGACAAAATGGTCAAACAGAACTCTAAGACTGCAGCTACAGGATTATTGAGTGCAGTATGAATCCTGGGAGAATAAAAAAGGTACCAAAGGGAGACAAAAAACTGTTTGCCTCTTGGTTTTTCTTCGTATTTTTTGAAGAACTGAGAATTGTCCATGCCAGCAAAATCTGTGTGGATAAATGGTATTTATTTTTCCCAGTATTTTTCCATGACTCTAGCCTTTAGATAAGAAGCAAATGACAGCATCACTCATCACAGGGCAAGGTAAAGGCATGTAAACAACTTTAAGTGTTTTTGAAAAAATTCCTAAGGGTTAGGTGAAATTTTACTCACCAAACAAACTTTTAATTTCAGATTCAGGAACATAAAATGGTGGGCCTGAAAGAAAAGGGTGAAGCTAATCAGAGAGGAGACATGGGAAGAAGACAAAATGTACACTGCAGTAGGAGAGCCAACCCCTTCACTCACAATACCTGGCCTGTAATGGGGCCCCAGGGTGTGGCACCAGAAGGAACCAGAAAACACGTCCAGAACACGTGGCACCTTGGCAGGCCAGACAGCTTCAGGTGTTGCTGCTGCTTCATCTGCAGCTGCAGCAGGGAATCATGAATGTGACGTGGATATGAGCACTCTCAGCATGCTGTGTGAATCCAGCCTACAATCTCTTTATACTACAGTGGCATGACTAAGGCTAAGAGCTGAACATTGTCAGAGGGAAAGCAATGAATTAAACTGTTCTTGCTTGTGATAGCAACACCGATTTTTTTTGGGGGGGGGGGGGAATTATGCTGAAGATCCCTAAAGCAGAAGAAGATCTCTTTCTTTTGTGAGTTAATATCAACTAAAAATATCACTCTTCAGTACATAACACAAAAACTATAGAAGGAAAAGTACCTTATGATTTTACAGAATTACCACATTCAGAGTGTGGTAATGGCTGAGAGAGAGGCACAAGATGGGCAACACATTTGGTTGCAAATACTGGAAAAACAGCATGAAGCTGATGTTCTTGGGAGTGTTTCAAGCTCCCCAGACCAGACAGGATGTTTTTAAGTGCTCTGACTTCCAGCTTCATTGTAGCAGCCACACTTACAGTTTCATTTCATTGTTAATATACCATGACTGTCCTCAACTTACCTTTAGCATGTCTGAATGCTAGAGAAAACACAAATTTAGTCCCAAGCTTTGTCAGTATCTAAACTTTTTAACACACAGTTATACACAGTCATACTGGGGTCACCAGCTAACAAAGCTATGCAGATAAAAATCTTGGGGAAGATATTACTGCATCTACAATTTAATACATCTAATACACCTTTATACAATTTGTATTAGAGCAAAATCACAACATGAGCAGTACAAAGTTCTCACCTTTGTGTTTGTTTGGATCATATGAAACTGTAACAAGGAGATAAGAAGAATTTTTCTCCACTAGGCTGATCATCAAACTGGCATAGCTAAAAGGAAAAATTATACTTTATTATTTTTGTAAAGCATTCAACCATAGCATTCAAAATATTCAACAAAATGCATTTCTATGCAGACAGAATTTGAACTGAACTGCACAGAGACTAACCAAAACTTAGTTTAAATTTCAGGAGCATAAAATTCATGCTACACATGAAAAACATAAAATAAAAGTTGTCTTTATTCCCCATAAACAAGCATTTATCTTTTTTTGCACGTTCAACTCAAGATTAATAGTCAAAGTATTCATCTGCCACAGTTTAGAATACAGTACACAGTACAGTCCTTATCTTTTAAAATTATTGTGAATTGAAGATTCTGTATCTTATTCAAAAATCCTGAGAGCAGGTGAAAACTAAATTCGGACTGTCTATAGGCAAGAACAAAAATTTGTAATCAAGGGGAGTGAGGAGGAAAAGAACAAAGACGGAAGAAGTAGATGTGATGAAAAGCAAATAATAGAATTCAGATGAGCCTTGCAGCCCTGCTTCTGCTGGGTTGCAACAAACCACATATTTTCCCACCAAGAGGCAGGGTGGCTTCCTGAAGGAAGAATACAGCACTCTGCAGATGCTTGTGGTAGAGAAGAACTTGTGAGGGTTTATCCTTTAAATGTAAAACGACTCATTAACAAGTCACAGGATCAAAAACTTGTCACTGATACATCAGAGAAAAGACAGTAACAATGCAATTTACTCACCGTGGTCTGTCACATGGATTCACAGCTACAAGAGCTCCTCTGTCCCAAACCCCATCAAACTTGCCAACTATTGAGCTATAAAGAGACAAGGAAAAAGCTTAAAATAGTAAAAAGGGACCATCTTCTTTCCAACACTTTTGTGAGGTCACAAGGGTTCTGCAGCTAGTGATTCTCCACCACCTTTCTGTTACAGTGAAGCATTTTTATAATCCAAACCAACAGGATCTGGAACTCAAGAAACCCTCCTGGTTCTTTGTCCTGCTGCAATAGCAAAGAGGTGTGGGAATTGGTCAGTGCTTCCCCATCCTTAGGGACTGATGAGACATGGCAGGGAGGAAGGAGCATACTTTTAACACATTTGGGCTACAAGTCTGGGTGTTCAGTAACCACATCCTTCTGTCTGACACGCACTCAGCACATCAACAGTTCTTGACCATGCATGATTTCATAAGTAGGCTAAGGAAGCTGCCTTGTTGCTTTACTATCATTGACTCAGCACATTCAGTAACTTTAGACACCTAAATCCCCAGCTACACACCCAGGACAGCTTCAGCTTGCAATTTGTTTAATGCTAGAAAAGCTAAGTTACACTGCTGCTTGCCTTAGTGCAACTCTGCTGCAGACACTAGTTTTGTTCCTGGATATGCTGGCAGATGCTTCAGTGGCCACCCAAAGCCTGCTGGTGAACAAGACTATCAAGAAATGCCTTTATTAATGGATGGTAAGAGCAGCCAGAGCAACACAAAAGAATATCTGGGGATAAGAAAGAGCCTTGTTTTTGGTAATTATTAAAATAGGAGGTTAGACAGTAAGGCAGTAATTAAGTAAATTGCGTCATTTTAAAGAAAGTTTGAATAAGTTTACTTAGAAAAATGTGGCATGGAATTGTGCAATACCCTTCTGCCACCCGGGCAGGTGTCAGAGTCCAATTGCATCACCTCTGTCTTCATTTCTGTACAGGTTTTGGCTTGGGAAGAGTTACCTTTCTCCACAGTGGCTTGCATGGGGCTGTGTTGGTGGATTTGGGTTTGAAATCATGTTGATAAGACACTGATGAGTTAGTTACTGCAGAGCAGCACTTACACAGCACCAAAATGTTTTTGGCTCCTCACACCCTGAGTAGGCTGGAGAGTACAAGAATGAACAAGACACTGGGTGGGGACAAAGCAAGCACAGCTGACCCCAGCTGAGCACAGGAATATTCCAGACCATCTGGTTCCACTCTCAGTAATAAAACTGGTGGGAGGTTAGTGGATGGGGGCACAGCTTGGCTGCTGGCTAGGCATCAGTTGCTTGGTTGGTGGTGGGCAACTGCTTTCATTTGCACCACTTGTTTTTCTTGGGTTTTATTTTCCTCTCTCTTTGGTTGTTCTTTGTTGTGTATTTTTTTTTCCTTACAACTTTTTGAAATTTATTTGTAATTATTAAACTGTTTTCATCGCCACACACATTTCTTTCTTACTTTTGATTGTTCTCCATCATCTTATGATGGGGGAGTGGGCAAGCAGCTGTGCGGTGCTTAGTTCCACCACCTTAGCCAGAGTTAAACCATGAGAACTTCTCTGTCACCACTGCTATTTTCATTGCAATGGCATTGCTAAGTCTCTGGCATCTAACCTACAAGCTGATCTTGTATTTCCCACTCTACTGCGATGAGACATGATAACACTTTTAAGTGCTGACTTCTTTTAAAGTTTGCCAAGTCTAAGCATCTAATTTAAATAACCAGCCTTGTACCAAAAGGAGATTCTTAAAGAGACAGTTAAACAAGCAATGGACATGCAGGGCACAAAGGAGAGTTCAGCAGGGCAAGTGCCTTGATCTTCTGAAGTTTGGAGGCAGTTCTCCTCTCTGTGTAGCTGAGTCTGCTGGGTGACCTCATGCAAGCCATTGAGGTTTTCTGCCCTTGGTTTTTCTTTCCAACTTTATTCTGGTCTAACTGGAATGGCAGCAGTGGCTCCAAACATGCATTTCATGTACTTTACTCCCAAGCAATTTCATCAAGCCTACAGACATCCCATGAGCTACAGGCAGGCTCATGCTGTGGCCTTGTCCCAGTCCTGGTCTCCTGGCTGCCCAGATCTCAGGACCTGCTGAGTGTCTGCGTAATCCTTGTCCCTCTGCACATCTAATTTCCTTCACAACACAATGAAGCCATGAGGAAAAGGTCAAAAAGGCACACAGCTGTCTCTCATTCTGATGCAGATTCAGGATGAAGCTAAGGTATGAGGAAGCACTTTCACTGTAACACACTGCTATGCGTTTATACGGTGTTCAACGTGGGTTAGGGACTACTACATCTAACAAATTTAACATGGAAATCAGAAATTCACATATCTGCAGAAAACCCACTGGAATTAAGAAGAAACTTGTGAATTTCTGTCTCTGCATATGTTTAGTAGTTTCAGTAAATGCAACTTTTGATTTTCTTTTGAAGTCTTGCAGCCATAATTGTATTAGGAGGTACATGATTGTGTAATATAACTGTTTTACATATGTCCCAGAATTCCCAGAAAGAGCAGTAATTCCTGTTACTCTTTAACTAGCAAGAGTCTTTGAAACGTCCCATTCTGACAAAGGTCAGGAGCACATCTGAGTTTTCTTCTAATGAACGCTAGCTAATGGAGATGAAAGGGACCTGTTAGTAGGCCAGCCTCAGCAAGAGAGAATTAAGTGTAATTTCCATAATTACTGGGTAATTAATCAAATTGTCTGCACACAGAAACTAGAAGTGTGTGTGCATTTTTCTAGTCACGGGTATCTGCTGACTGAAGTTGGGAATACAGTTCATTCTGCATCCAGAACGTCTATCTGCCAATTTATTTTGTGACGACAAACTATGTACTGGATCCAGTGATGTGCACTGAAATTGTCACCAATTACCTAATTTTGTTTATTTCAAAATATTATTACACCATGTTGTGATAGAAGTTACAAGTTTCACCACACTACTTGCTACAAAACTTATGACTGAATTTTTCAAAAATTTCTGAGAAGCTTAAGCAATCCTTGGGCAACTTGTCAACTCAGAGCAAGAAAGGTTTAAAGGGATCTACAGTGTAGCAAGTAACTGCACTGGAGGGACAAGGCAGGTAAGAAACCAGGCAGTATCTACAGTCACCTTCATACACACCTCCTCTGTTTGACACTTTGCAAAACTAGCTACATATATACACTAGTCAAGTCAGCTGCAGCAGCAGAAGTCACAATCGTGGTCTACTGTCTGAAAGACTCTGGACTCTAGTAATGAATGGTCTTTTTTTCCATTGTTTTGGCAGATTGAAAAAAAGAGATCATAGAGTAAACACTGTGTTCTGGTGTCCTGAACTACCTATTGTGCCTGTATGTGCCTGGAAAGCCCATTGAAGTAAATGTTAAGACTTTACCTCCTTCCTACTGAAGAGACATGAAAAAAATTCTTGTGCCTAACAGTTGTTTGTAGGAAGAGCAAACAAACACAAAAAACTTCACCAAAACCTTATAATCTAGGAAAAAAACCACATCTGAGTAAGAACTGCAAAAAGAGGGAACTATTGTGCTAAGACACCTCTGGATATATTCTGTTTACTAAGTTACTCTGAGGAAGGGATTGTGCTAAAGTTTTGCCTCATAGAATTCATCAGTAATGTTAAAGATAATTTGGTTTTACTGTAAAAGCAAAAATGCTTTTTTGATAACTTTCACAGATTGGCTTGGAATAAGAAGCCCATTTCAAGATAATTAGTTGTCATCCTTAATTAGTAACAACAGAATTAGACTTTTGCTGGAAATTGGCCATTCAAGTTTCTCAAACAAATTAATGTGAGTTTGCTTAAGAGGACCTGACAAATCTTTGCCTGATTCAAATAAAATAATAGTATAGACAGTATTAATACATATTAGATTATGGAGAATTGTAAAATACTATGAGTATTCCTACCTGGACAAGTCATAAATACTGCAGCAGTAGAGGGAAATGTTGCCAGAGGTACTCTACAATAAAAGCAAAGGAAACAACCCTTATCAGCTAACTATCTTTAAATACACACTCATAAGTATATATTTCTACTTCACATCTTAAAATATACCCATACACTGTTAAAAATGGAAAATTTAAAATACATTTATGTGCAATGGAGAAAAACACTGAGAAATATTTTTAGTTTCAGTTTACTGAGATAACTCTTCTGATCCCTCCAGAGAAGTTCTAATCTACCAAGGCATGCAACTTTTATCAATCTATCAGGGCATGCCTCCAGTTTTAAAATATGTTCCTTCTACATTCAGGTGCTTCACTGTTACAAGAAGGTCAAAGTAGTAAGTTTAGAAGAATAACTTCTCAGTCCAAAAATACAACTCAGAGCTTCCTTTTAGACCTCTTCAGGAGAGGCGAATGATTACCAGTAAAACAGATGCATAAAAGCAGAACGACTTGTTTACTCGGTTATGCCAGCATTGCATGATTAACCACACCAGATCATTTGACATACCTGGAACATTTTTGCTCCTGAAATCTCAGGGACTGGCTCCTCACAGTAAGGCAGACTGTGTTCTGAAAAAAAGTCCTTCACTGCTTGCTCACTGATTTCCACACCAACAACGCTGTGCCCCATGTCTGCCAGCCTGCACACAAGAGAGAGAAGGCCCAGGTTTACATTGGGCCCACAGGCTGGGCAAAATGTGTATCTCCCATACATCATTTATTCATTAGGGAAAGCCTAGTATTAAGATGCCCTGATATGTCTAATTCTGACTTTCTGACGTGTTCCCATTATATTGAACACCTCCCTTCCATGAACTGAGCTTAAATTAGCACCACTCAGCATACAGTTGACAAGGAATTACATGCTGTATTTAGATTTAATGAATTATTAATTTATTCCTACTAACTCGGTGAAAACAGAGGTGATGACAGTGAGAAACTGTCCATTTCAGAAAGGAGCTGTGCTCTGAACTGAGGTGACTGAGGCACCCAGCTGCCTCTCTGGTGTGGCAGGAACGGGCAGCAAAGGAGGTGCAGTAACCTCTGTGCTGCTGCAGCTCAGCAAAACACCAACCTGTGTCAGAGCCCACAGTCAGTCTAGGGAGCAGGTACTGTGACAAAAACTGATAGCTGGATTACTTGAAGATGCAGTGCAGGTTTTGGTTTGTGCTTCCTCCCTCCCAAGAAAAAGTACTGGCTTATATAGGCCCTAATTTTAAAGACAACACTCCCTCCCTGCATCACCCCCCCCACCCCCCACAAAAAAAAAAAAAAAAAAAAGGTAAAAGATTAAGAATAAAAAAAAAGAAGAAGTTACATTTATCCCAAATCACTTAAATTTCCAGAGTGGCATGCCACATGGTCTCTTGAAAATGTTGTCTGACACATCTGACCTCATTGTGGGTCATTTAAGCTGGCATTGCTATGGAAAGCAGCACTGTTAAGGGCATAGATTCAGTCACTCTGTCCATCTAAATTCAGCATTCCCCAAGCTAAACTTGGGACAATCAGCAGGACTTTCAGATCAGACCTTATCCATTCAATTTAAGCTACTATACAAAACACCAGCTTCCTCCTCCCTTCAGCTTTCAGTGACACTGCTTTCCTGGCAGTGGCACATTTCCACTAGCCAATACAAGGTTGGGAATCCCCCCCATCCTCTCCCTCCCTCAAGTAAGATTTTTGCTCTTATTATCAGTGTTTTACCATTTCATCTCTACTGCTTTACCACAAAGTGGGAAAAATATCCTCAGTCCACTCCTGCCATTTAAAAGAACATCCAGATACTTTTGGAGGAGCCTGCAGAAGAATAGACACATTTTACTTAACTCTGTGAGTATTTGTGCTGGCACATGAAAAGCCAAGTGCTACATACTGTGCAAGGTAGCATGAAAACTCCACAATGGCACATATGTTATTAGCTCAACCTGCTTCATGTCATTAGAAATAAAAACATTAAAAAAAGCATTCACCTTCCACTTACACAGCAAGAAAGTCAATTTCATGTAATTCAGAAATCAACACATTTCTGTTTGTTCTATTTTCTGTTTGCCTTTGAAACTAATCAGCCCAACCAACCCACCTCTAAGAGGGTCATAACAGACATTTTAAACAGAAAGATTATGAAACTTTTGCATCAAGCAAATTACTTTTACAGGTCTTGAAATACTATATAATCAGGTTTGTTCTTTTAGCTCCTTGTCTTTTACTGCATAGTAGTTGCTCTGATGTCCTCTGCACATAGTTTCAAGGCCCAGTTTCACATGAACAATAGTGCAAAGCATCTCCATCAGAAAATTTAAGATTTTCTAGCCAAACTGTCCAAGCTCTAAGGTTAAAAACCTGATTCAAGAGTAAAAGGTTTAAATTCATTTCAATACTTTCTTTTCTCTGTCCTTTGACGAATGTAGGTCACAAAAATATCTATATTAATTTTTGTTTCAAAACCAAAAAAAATGAATGTGCCCATGTAAGATAATTTGGTTTTTGCAAATGTTTCATTTTCAATTAAGAGTTTCTTAAATGAGCCAAGCCAGTCATCCCATGGCATTACTTAAAACAGCTTAGGCAGAAAAGTGAAGTCACGTACAGATGCCCTTCTTCCTTGTGAAACCCGATGTTACCCATTTCCCATTTTTCTAGCCATTCCTCCTCTGTCACTACTCTCTCCTTCTGAGACCCAACATCAGAAGCTTCCAGGACCCCGGATGGATGCGCTGAGTGGTCCATGTCTCCAGGGAGTGCTCGTAGCTGTGAAAAAAGAGAGAAGAATTACCCCCACCCAATGCATAGTTTGGAACTGGCTCTTCCCCGAAACAAACAAAAATTAAGTAGATCTCAAGAGATCACCGTTTGGTGACAGTCGCAGTATACCGAAAGCGACACAGCCATCAGCACTCTCTTGGCTCCCGACAGACTCGGCCAGACCCCGTTTCCCGGGGCGGCTGAACGGGCCTGCCCAGCACTGCGGGTCCGCCGGTGGCCTCCCTTTTCTCACCCATCTAGCAGCCCCCCTACCCCGGTAACGAAGGAGGGAGATACCGACACTTCTCTCCCGTGAAACCCGCGGGCAGAAGGCGGGGGCTAGCGGCTGCTGGGGCCGGAGGACCCGCGGGGTGACCCGTGGTGGCTCAGCGCCGCCGCCCCGCTCCGCACCCCAGCCCGGGCCGCGGCAGCCGCGGTACCTGCACGGCCGCGGGTCCCGTGAGGGCGGCGGGCCCGGGGCGGTGCCTCCCCGCCCGCCCCCTCGCTACGCACCGCGGAGAGCGGAAGCAGCGGCAGGAGGAGGCGGGCTGAGGGTGCACGGCACCGGGGAGGAGGAGGATGGCGGTGGGGATGGCGGCGGCGGTGGTGGTGAGTGACTCCCTCCCTCAGCTGCAGCGCCCGCCGCGGGGCCGCTTGTTCTTCCCTGGGCTGGCAGGGCAGGTGCCAGCGCTGCCCCCGTCCTCACCTCCCCGCTTCACTCTTCCTTCCCCCGTCTCTTTCTCACTCCCTCCCTTCCTTCCCCCTTCTCCACCCTTTTTTCCCGTTGCAGCTCTAGCAGGAGGCGGCGCGGACACGCGTGAATGTGGACACGAGTGACCCGGCCCCGAGGTGAGTGCCAGGCGCCTGCCCCGCCGGCGGCACCGCCCCCGCCCGGCTCCGGGGCAGCCCAGCCGCGGGGGCTCCCCTGCCCGGGCTGCCCCTCGGGACCCCCGCCCGCCCTCCCGCCGCCAGCTGTCACAGCCGCGGCCGGCGGGGCTGGGCGCCGCCGCTCGACTCGGGCTGAGTTTTAGAGGTGTGTGCGCTCGCCGTGTTAATCGGGCTGCTCTCGCTTCCTCCCCGTCTCTGACAGCGTGTGTCTTGTGTTGTTTCTTTTCTTAATTTTTTTTCTCTTCCCCAATGACAAACTCGCTGCCGACTGTGCGGGTAAACCCCACAAAGCTTTCCGATATAGGCCACGCATTACAGACGGATGAAACGTTATTGAATGTGACATTCACGCATTATGCATCCCTCTCCCTTTAAAGGGCTTATTTTCTCAGCCAGTAAGATGTCTACAGGATAGGATGCAAAGTCATGTAAAGCTTCCTAGAGTAAGCCATGTTTGTTTGTTCTATAAAAATTTGTGGTTTTTTTGGGAGGGTGTTTTTTGGTTTGTCAGGGGAAGTGGGCACAAAGTATCATACATCTGATCTTTTTCTCCTCCCCACCTCCCTCTTATCCCTATTGAAGGGGTAATAGCAAAAATATGCCTGCAATTCTGTACAACTGACCTCTGCCTTTCAAAACGGGCAGCCTCTCTGAATCTGAAATATTTTTACCAAACTTCCTAGTGATTGACACTTTTTCTACTCCTCACCTACATAATGCAAAATTCACATGTTCTTTTACCTTCTTGGATAAAAGGACCCCACAGCAGCAGCAGACCATGATCACCTGATGGTCACCAAAATGAGTCACCTGGTGCCCTGCTTGCTACTCCTTCCTCGGTTGGAAGCTTCCGACTGTAAGGACCATGGCATGTCAGAAGGATTATTTCCCATGAGAAGACTAGGTGACACAGAGAGATACTGTTGTGCCACTGATACATAAAGAAAGCTCTAGTGGAAAAAGCCACCATTTTCTGGGGTGTCATGCAGCAGTTTAGGGAAATCTCATGTAAATGAAACTGGTTGGTTTTCTTTACTCTCCAAGCTCATCCACCTCCATACAGTGGTAAGTTACAGTGAAGTGATGCTAATTTTTTTTTTTTTTCCAGAGACCAATATAGATTGAGTCAATAACTTTTTTCCTACCTCTGGCTAGTTGTAATTGAAGGTGATACATACAAGAAACAAAGTTTAATTTTATATTGGGTTGTTTGGACTAATATTTCTCATGTGTGGACACCCTCATGTGATTTGTCTTCCTCTCACAAATAATTTCTCCTATCTTGAGAGGAGAATGAAGCGCTAGTTTGCTTGACTTGAGTCAGCTTAATAGAAAACTTTGTAAAAATTCCCACTCTCCCCTTGTTACCTTGATTTTTAACAGAATTTCTGAACAAAGATACTACTGCCTTGTCCATCACTGACAGGTTGAATAAGGAAGTTGCATCCTGAAACAGGGAGAATTGAGAAGTCTCATATATACATTAAAAAAACCCTCCCAAAAAGATAATTACAAACTGATCCCTATTACAACAAAATAATATTCATGACGCAGTGCTGTGGTATAAGGGGTTAATTTCCACTTAATTTCTCTGTTGTAGAGCACTCTTTAGATTTACTTCTTCCTCTAGGCTGTCTTTGTGCTTTACTCCCTGTGAAAAGAATGCCTTTGATTTTAAATATGCTTTCATATTTCTGCATCATACTTTCTCACACTCTGTGGTTTCCAGTTTGCATGATTAACTGTGGTCCATTCTGTGCTCCTACCAATGCAGTCAAAGACAGCTACAGAGCGCTCTCATGCTGTAAATATTTTATTTTGTCCTGTGGAATACTTAACAACAAACTTTGTAATATTCCAGTCACAAATGCAATATAATGGCAGTCCAGATTTCAAATTCTGATCTCTTTTCATAGGAGGCTGTGCAAGTCTTGGAACTGGTTGCTCATCTGGTATTAAAAATCTCTTCAGTACACTGTTTGGAAAAGTGCTTTACAGTGCAAATCTCCTGCTGCCAATAAATCAGTAGTTAGCAGCATGAGTGTTACTCTGAGTGGTATTTGAATGCTTGCATCAGCATTGAGCATTGAGCTGTTGTCTGTTCACTTTGCCAACCCAAATTCCAGTCCAGGTCTTCACGTAATGCAAATCAGATTATTGAAATCCAGGATATGCTGATCTGGAACAGCCTGTCAAGAGGTACTCAGGGATCTAATCTTAACGCCGAATTTAGTTTAAAATAGTAGTATTGTTCCTTCCCCCAATGCCTCATTCTCATTTTCCTCTCGAATTAACAGTCAAGCTGAACAGATTCTTACCTAGGTAACTCTGTGAAAAGTAGTATTGTGAGTGGCTGTGATTAGCTCTGCAAAGTCAAGCAATGTAAATTAATTAATTATTGCCTACCTTTTTTCAGCTCTAACAATACAATGTCAACGGGAAGGGTACGAACGAAGAAAAAGGCATGTTCTTCAGATCAGTCTCCAGACAACCTTCCTCTGAGGAGTTCTGGAAGACAGGTATTTATAATTTAAAAACACACGAGCTTGTACTTCGCTATTTTTTATTTTCTGTTGTCATTTGTAAAGAAAGTGGGCTTCCTTGTGGGTAAGTTAGGTCTTAGACTACTTATCCACAGAGAAGGAGAATGAGTTAGTTCCGTGAATAGGCAGGTCATTTTGCAAACAATATTCAGAAAAGATAAATAGTCTATATAACCTGTAAGTACTTAATGTGTTAAAAATACAATCACAGATTTCTGTACAGTCAGACAAAGCTGTCTGCCCATCCAGACAGAGACCTAAAACAATGTAATACACAGTACCTTTGAGGCCCAGAAGAGACATTTGGTTTACAGTTTTGTATCCAAAAAAATGCCTGTATCCAAAAAAGCCTACCCTAATATTTTATTTGAGGCACAGATAGGATTGCTACTTGTAATTAATACCAAAAAGTATTTTAAAAGAGGACATTTTCTGAAGGAGAAATAAAATGAATGCATGAGGCTTGACTCATTAACACATGATGGAGCTTAAAATACTATTTAAACTGGAAGCTTTGCTTATCATTTCTTTAGTGCCATCAATTAGACCAAGGCGAGAAATTTTTAGATATAAATGATATTTCCAGTCTTACTGTGGGCTTGGAGGTTTCTTTTGGTGGGTTTTTGTTGGTTTTTTTTTTTTTCTTTTAGTGGAAAAATCTGACCTAATTTGACAGCTGTTTCATGCTGCAGCTAGTTCACAATGGCTGCAAAGATTTTCGTTAGGATTGTTTTAACTATGGGATGCCACTCACAAGCTGCAAAGCTATCTGAATGCTGCTTTGTTGAAGATGCATTTGTGTCATTTATGGTCAGATTCCAGCTATTCTTTATTAGGTGAAGAAGAAAGCAGCTGAAGCAGCAGATGATGATGATGAAGCGTCAGAGAAGAAATATAGAAAGTGTGAAAAAGCTGGATGCACCGCAACATGTCCCGTTTGCTTTGCCAGTGCAGCAGAAAGGTTTGTTACTTTTTATTTGCATTTTTCATGGACTTTCTAAACCTGCAGCTGAAGTTTAGGATTCTAACTATATTCTGAAAAATCCCTTCATACCCAAATGTAGAGGGAGAATTGAAAGATAGTGCTAATAGGAGTCTTAAGGTGCCAGGAAAATGTCACAAGTTATTCCTGTTGTCCATAACTTTCTCCTGTGCAAGTTGCTAATTCAAATGCAGACTATCTTTGGGATATGCTTATTTATGTTATTAATGGTGTCCTCTGGAACATGCCTTGCTTCTGTGAAAGTGAGAGCATATTAGTGTAATCTGAGAAAGCTAAACTTGCTTTCAGGATGGAAAATGAAACCATCATTTACTGTAGAAAGTCTTTACTACTCCTTCACTGGAATGCTTTGCAGTCTGAGGTGAGAGTCCAGCCTTGAAATTTTAGGAGAGATAGTCATACTTACCTGAACTCTTTGTTCTTGTACACTTCCTCTGCACTTTCACAAGTGCTTTTGCATTCTGACTTGGTGGTTTTGAATGCATAATACTGGCAAGGTGTACCTATAATAGGCAACATGTTAGACCTCATTATGAAGCAGGTGCACTGTAGCTATGTAGCACTCCTCCCGCCCTGATAATTGAGACAAACTTTCCTTCTTTATAGCACTGAAAAATAAATAAAACTAACTATGTGTTTCATTTAGTTATATCCATGGATTGTTCTTTGGTGGCAGGAAGTCAATGTATTCTGGATGTTGTCATAGAGAAGCCAAGTGTTTTGGCAGTTCCCTGAGAGACTTGTCTGGGAAGTGAGCACCTGAGAGATCAGCATTGGTGATATTACAGTTTTTATTTGGGAAACAATACATACTGCTTACTCATCTTCTTGAATTGCTGTTTCAATATTTTGATTTTCATCTTTCCCACCCCTCCCCTCCAAGTACATACTTTCAACTTTATCTGTTTGAGATGAGCTCATTTCATGGCTACTTGAGTCAGTAGCTTAGGTCACTGCTTTTGACTTTGTGCATTTATCTTGAATAATT